CTCCCAGCGTGCATTCTTTGCTCCTATATTTGTAATACAAACATCAGAGGCTGTAGGCACCTGTTCTCTGCAGTCTCCTCCATTTCTGCAGTCAACAAATCAAATCCATCCCAGGACCAAAGGGCACCAAGTTTGCCATGCAGGAGCTCCCTGCTGACCTGTCGGCCTACCAGCAGAGCTGCTGTGTGCTGGGGTGGGAGCAGTAATTCCTGCTTGACCCTTGCACAACCACCGTGTGCCCTGGGGCATGGGAACCAGTGCTGTTATCTCATCTCACATCTGACATGACTCCTGTGCTGCCTTTTGAAATACTTAGTGATGGAATGTTGGAAACTGAGGTCACAGAGGTTTTGGAAAGCCCCAGGCTGCCCCAGAACTGTCTCTGTCCCCACAGCCTCAGTGTGCGTTGCTCCCTGGGTTCTGATGCTCATCCGTTGCTTTCTTTTCATCCTCCCTCCTCCAGGTCCTGGGGGCCACCGTTGACAATGCCAACCTCCTGCTGCAGATTGACAATGCCAGGCTGACAGCTGATGACTTCAGGACCAAGTAAGTCACATCTCCTGGAAAAAGGGAACAAGGTCTGCAGAGGTGTTTGATGAAAAGTGGGAGAAAATTCCCATCCCAGACCCAGAAAGGCAGCTTGGAAACAAAGCCCTCAAAATGAAGATGTGATTTCCAAAGCAGCCAGTTACCTAAATCCTGTAGGCACTCCATACCTTCACTATTGCTTGTGTTAGCACTGGGCTTCTGCTGTGCCTCCACCTTCCATGCACACAGTTCAGAGCATTACCAAGGCCCAGTAATGAGCAAGGCTGTGCTGTGGGCTCAAGTGACACTGCTCTGCCAGCTGTGACACTGTGCACAGTGCGCGATGTGAGCAGCAGCCAAGGGGCTCTGCCCGACCAGATGTGATCTCAGCACACCTTGTCCCTCTGTTGTGTCGCCAGGTTTGAGACGGAGCAGGCCCTGCGCCTGAGCGTGGAGGCCGACATCAACGGGCTGCGCAGGGTGCTGGACGAGCTGACCCTGGCCAGGGCCGACCTGGAGATGCAGATCGAGAACCTGAAGGAGGAGCTGGCCTACCTGAAGAAGAACCACGAGGAGGTGGGCGCAGCGCCG